TTGCCTCATGACGACGAAAGCTATATACGAACCTGCGAACCGATAGTGCATTAAACGCTAGTTATCATTCGATGACGATATTTGATAGTAATTTCGTCACACCAACTCCTGAGTCGCGCGAACGTGATTGCGTTTTGAGAATTTTCTCACCCTACTCAAATTCTAGAACCTGGTAGATGTATAGTGGTCGGTCGGGTCTAATTCGGTCGGAGGACTACACAACATCTTACCAGTGATCTCGTCCAGAGTATGGAACGCTTTTTCAAAACGTTTAGTTGCATGCTATTGAAGTTATCACGTAGACTTCAAAGCAGGCTCATTTTCGCCAAGCGGCCCCCTGAAGGCCAAAAAGAAGCGAAAAAATTGCTATGGTCTGGAACTGGGCGGAAGTGGTGTAGTGGCAAGTGGCACGCTTACCACGCGAGCGGTCCGGGATCAAATCCTGGGTCGTGAGTCGCCCGGGCCAACCAAGCCTTCCATCCCTCCGGGGTCGGTTAATTGGTACCAGACTTGTCTGGGAGGATAAAAACACTGACTTGTACATCGGCTGGCCCCCGCAAGTCATTGTATAGGCCACATCGCATTCAAACGCCACTACGAATGTACAAATGGAAGTAGAATGCGTGCCGCATCCCAAAAGGGATTGATCAACGGCAAATGCTTTATCCTTTATCCTTTATGGTCTGGAACTTCGAGAAAAATACACGGTCTCAGTAATTAAACACATTCTAATGGCGCTGGCGCTATGTAAAGGGAGTTTGGAAGCTCAACGGAAATTCAAAAATTCTGTCATTTCGGGAATCGAACTATAGATCATTCCTCCACAACTTCTTGGCCTTGACGGGGCCGCTCCGCGAAAACCTCGGTTCTGTAGTCCACGCCCAGTTAAAATTTTTAAAACCCTCTTGGAAGCGCACCACACTCTGGAAGGCTTCCTTTGTTAAAACGCAGTGATACTTTGCGACGCCGACGTTACACATTTCACGAATATGAAAACCAACGGCCACAATCATGAGTTACTTTGTGAACTCTAAACATCCTCAGCATCTTCTTCGCTGTCATATCATTCTGCACACTGCATTAGCAGTGAAAAACGTTTTACTTTACCATAGTAAAGCTGCATAATGCACTCATATTCGCTGACACCCACCTTTGCTGCATTCGATGAATAGACACCAATGAAGGTTTTCTCGCAATAATCAGCAAATGCTGGTAGTGTGATTGTGACAATGGCTTCCTGTTTTAATATGGTCCTGAAAAAACATGCAATTATTTCAATCCACTCAAAAGAAAGAAAACGATAATAAGAAAATGAAATAAATCTCACTTAGAGGGATCATCCGGGAGTGGTGTGTAGGTGAGTTTTTCGTCCACTCGAAGGAAATGGGAGCCATTTAGCTGAAATGAAAACAAATTGAAAAAAAACGAGCTATTCGGCTGTTCCAGTTTTTCAATCAAAAAGGTGCTCACATTTCGAGTCGTCAATGCCATGGTTTTCGTTTGGGGATCGATTACTGTATATTCGTGTGAGTACTGAGTTCCGGAAAACCCGGTTAACTGAAAAAGGGAACTTTCACGCCTAGAAAATAAAAGGCTACGGTTATGTGCAAAATAAACCTGTTGTCTTGCGTATGACCGTTTCAGCGGACCTCAACTGGTTTACCACCCGGATCGCTTTAACGGGCATTCAAATTCTTGAAATTTTCGCACTGCTAAACGACCACCAGGCAAGTCAACAAGTCAATCCAACCATTAAAAATGAGCTGTACGCCGACACGTTCAACTTGAGACCATGAGCTCAAACTACTTTCCGAAACTTTACTCATCAATTCTTGCCTACAGATGCTTGCGTGAAGAGATTGGAAGCAGTAGGGGCAGTCTCGATAAAGGCATTATGTAAAACATTGCAGAATGAGTCCCTGTGACTCTGTTCAAGCATAGTTTGACAGATAGAAAAACGTTTAGCAAACCGACTCAAGATAATTGCATTGACGTTAAACACATTGCGAATAAACGCAACGCAACGACCTGCTCCTCTTTGCTCATTGATTCAAAGAGCGTGGTGAAGCGTTTGCTTGAATCAGGCCTCAGGATGAATCTCAAGCATGACTGGAAAGCCTGACGCCTTAGGGGATACAAGAATTCAATAATAATTTATCGTATTTTATTCATGAATAACAGTCCCTAAGTTACCTGGTTGACCCTCCCTAGGCCCTTCCTTGCCTATCTATACATCGTTCACAATCGCTCACCCTCTTCACATGTGACAGTGACGCGAGCCAGTAACCTCTGATTCTTGACCACGTCATGTGTTTACAACAGAGGAATTCCATAACACCTGGACAATTTGTTTGAGCCATTGGACGTCAAGCACAAAAGGTAATCAGGTAAATAAAAAATGATAAGGGCAGTGGGGACGCGTCTATTTCAATGAAATAGAATCACATACATTGAGGAGAATGAGGCCATACTTACATAATAAAGTCATGATATAGTTAAAGCATTCAATAAATGACATGAAAACCTAACAAGCACCGCCACTCACCTTTGTTGCCCAGCTCGGGATATGGAAATGCGACTGGATGATTCGTTCACAGAGAAGTTTCCCACTATGTAAATTTTGCCTTAGAACGTCCATTCCAGTCACTCCTTGATTCATCGGATTAGGATACTTCCGCCATGCAGCCGTTACCACGGTCTCCCAATCATGGCTGAATATCGAAATCAGCTTACGTTTGAAAAAGAGCAAAAGGTGACATAATAAGTGAAAGACACAACTTACTCAAAAACATGTTCTGATGTCCAAATTTTCATTCTAGTTCGCTGAAAACAAAAGTTCAGTTGTCAACAGAGGAGACTGCGTAGGAAGCACTTGAATGCGCAATTCGAAATATGACGACACAGAAAAACCTACACAATGGAAGAAGAACAAACAGTTGCACCTCATGAATTGAAGCAGCTCGAAGAATAAGCAAAATCCAGGAAAGAATGATATGGAGTTGAGAAAAGAAAATGGATAACGAGGGAAATTAAGAAGGCTATTGGGAGAATTTTGCGGAAAACTTCCCAATAAGAAGTTGCGACGTAAAACAACCAATGCGAAAGAACGGGACTACACTGGCGTGCAAAACTTAAAGAAGAACGTAGCTTTTCCAAGAACTGCTACTGGCGAGTAACATAACTCTATGGAACCTAACCACACATAGAAAGAGCTGCTACAGGCAGTACAGAAAGCAATTGACAGGAACCGCAAAGCGGTCCACAAAGCTATCACATTAACTTCATTTATCTCGTCTTTAAGTTTCGCACACCAGTGTAGTTAAGCTTGGCTTGCAGGAACGTTCAGCTGACGGCGACAAATGTAATCTAGAATCGGCTGCTCTGCTCCTCCAGCCAGAAAAAACCCACCCTGATGTGATCTATGAACTCTCAGCAGTGCACTTCATTAAAGGTCAGGGAAACTCCGATCTTCGGAACTGCGAAACTCCTGGAGAGACGCATATCTTCATCCAAGATTCACTATTTTTATGCAGAAAAAAGACTAGCCGTGAATGCCAAAAAATAGATGGAAGAAAGAATAGAAAAGAAAGAAAGAATTGCGGGCACAAAGTATGCTAGTACTCAATGCAGAATGCTATTATACAATGGAGCCAGAATTTCAAATACCCTACCGCTACGCGAGCACTGGGCTAAAATCAAGAGCTGGTCGAGTACATCGTGGTTGCGTCGTAAAAATCAATACGGGGTTATCGCAATCGTTTTTTCTCCCTCCCTGACTTCACTACGTCACATGCGTTTTTCACGGGAGACTCACGCGACAGCAGCCATTCGACAACAAAGCAAACTGGTGACAGTCAGGCGGAACTCGAAGTTTCACTGACAGCTTCCCAAGAACCCAAAAGTCAGAGGAAATAACAATGGCGCCTTGAGATACGAGGCTCACGATTACATTGCTTCCAACATAACTTCCAATATTTAGTCCAATGATAAATCCCCTAACCTATCAATGAGAACATTTTACAAACATTTAAATTTCTGACAAATGTTCCAACGAAAGTTTCAGTCAAAACTTGCTTTGTAATACATTTAATAAAAAAGAGGATGGCAAAATCAGTTTAGTCACTGAGTTTACAAATCCTCAGTTCACCCTGCCATGAACTCTTAAGACAAATTAAATTGGAAAGAGTCGATACTGAAGGGTCAAGAGAGAACGAAAATTCGCCAGAAAGTGCATCTTGAGAGAAATTCAAAGCAGTCTTTGTATACTGAGAAATCGAAAAATTTTAAAATAAAATAAATTTTCAATTTCTAATTAGTTATTACATTTCATATTGAATAGAAAAAAAGAAACCGTTTCTATATTTGCGGAAAACCTTGTCGAGTTTGACCTTCAGCATTAACAGTTTTAACAGACAGCGTGAACAACTGTACGGCCAATACGACAACTGATTCCAGCTGAGCAAGGACATCATTTTTTGAGTGAAGGCAATTCATCACATTCAACGCCCACACCTTCTTATCATTTTCCGTTGACGAATTGCTCACTCCACAATTACACATTTACCAATGAATCATGGACATTTTCTTGTAAACCAGGAGTAGAAACGCGACAACAAAAGCATTACTTTTGCTTCGAGTGTGTTCTATTTCCAGGTTATAATGTGGAGAAGAGATAGACAGGACTGATTTTCTCACTGCTCTTTATCGAGGCTTTCAAAATTGTTAGTGTGGTTAGGATTTCGTCGATGCGACCACACCCCAATGCGTGAAGAAGGTCTCGGAGCCTTTGCTGAATTGTTGTGACAAAAATGAGGAGAATAAAGCAACTGCAAAAGTGGGCACCCGACAAACCAAACGAGACTAGCGCTACACTAAAACCTGAATAAAGTGGCGTGCGAGCTCTCGCATAGTTTTCGCAAGCACTCTAGGATGAAAAGTGAGGGCGTAGTAAGGACTAATTTCACTTTACAAAGCTTGTCAGCACAAGACAACATACTGGTACAATACAAAATGCCAATGCTTCCACTTTTTAACCAGTAGAACTGTCCATGAACAGGAACTGGTTTAATGACCATTTCAATAACAGCCATTCTTCTCACGCCGAAAACGAAATTCCCGTACAAATTCTAGATACGCTAGAGTTCTTCGCCAAATTTCGTCTAGATCTGAGCGAAGTATGTGACATGAACATGGGAAGAAGAACCATCAGCATTTCCGTCATAAATAAAGTGACGAATTCGAAAGAGGAAATTCAAATAATCAAACTATGAACAAGAAAGTAATCGGGTCTTATCTCACTTACCATGAGAAAGGCATCGTTGTGTACAATCTTTCGAAAAAGTTGAAAGCCGCTATCAACTTTAATCCTTGCTTATTTCTTGTTTTTTGGGTTCTTCTAGAAAGGACGGCATGTGATGCGACAGTTAATAGCGCATGAAATAAACCACTTTTTTTTACAGGGGAGGGAAACTCTGGGGTGGATGTAAAAGCGGAAGCGAAACTTTTTACGCACGCCGGGAATTTCCTCGCTGTGCAAAAATTGGAATTTCTGTAGCCAGCACAGGCCGGACGCATAGTCGGTCGGACGACAGCAACGAACCGTTGCTGTCGTCCGACAGCAGCAGTCGTAAGGTAATAATCACCTAGTGAGCAAACTAGATAATCCTAAGAGAGAGATTAGAACCCCGGGCAAAACCAAGATTGTTCAGGGATTTGGAAATTTCCCTTTCGTTCTAAGGCTTTCTTGAACGTTTACCATAAAAGCATATGCTTTCTCCACGGTTTAAGACGCATTGAGAGATCTAAACCGCAATACAGCCTCCTACCTTACGGAATAAACCCGGATTTCCCTTCGTGCCACTTATGGTGGGGGCCGTGTGCTATCCTCCCTCGAATGGGCGCACGCATAGTCGGTCGTCCGACAGCAACGGTCGCAACTGTCTGACTGTCTGACTGCATCTAATCGTCGAATACTCAGGCAAGTCCGACGATCGATACGCATCCAATGCTGTGCGACACTTGCAGTCGTTGCTGTCGTCCGACCGACTATGCGTCCGGCCTATAGCGGCGGGGCTAAAAGTCGAGGTAAAAAGCAAACAGCCCTTCGCGTCTTCGGCTGGAGCCGTATGCCGACTTTGGAGGGATGGGTCCTCAACGTCCGCCGTTCACTTGCAACCCTCTGGTTGTAACGCATCGAGATACTCGACTCATTGTGATCACTCAAATGAGTTTTAACCATCTCTTCTTAAACACATTGCGTGACCGACCGTTGTATGAACCCTTTCTAGCTTTTTTTATATTTTCAACAACTATCATACAATTAGATACCTATACAACATTCTAAACCAGTGATGCAGGTTAAATTTGTTTCCAGCCTGCAAATATGCAAGCGCGTTACCTAGTCATTGAGCATTGAAAACATTGTCAAAATAAATCTATTAAACGTATGATGTTTCGTTGAAATCGTGCGACACACCATGTGGCGCACGGCCCCGTACCGCATTGTCTTAAAATTCATTTTTTGAAGAAATCTCGTTCACAGTTTTTTCCTAAGTTTTCGAGCGGTCACTTTGAGTTTTTTGGACTTGAAGAAATCACAAATTCCTACAAAAAGCTTGCTGTGGAGAAGCAAAGGTACTTTTGACAACGGGTTGTCTGCTTCCTAATATGCTCCTAACTCCCCTTGAAGAGGCTCCATAAAGAATCGCTCTTCCGTAACAACACTATATTTCGGTAAGCACAGCACTGTCGCTTGATTACAATTCCACCGAGAGTTCATGCTCCGCAGCGCTCCATCCGCCTTTCCAATGTAGCTATCGCCGCAGTTTCGTCTGCGGACCCTCCAAATTGTGACCTCCAACACACCATGACCAAGTTCGACTCCTACGAACGTTGACCCGGGCGAAGCCGCGTGTCTTTCCATAATGGCTTGCGCATGTTTAAACCACTTCTTGACAGGAATGCACGCGTTTACAAACGCTGACGAAACGTGTACACACATGAACACCCGTGTAAAGGATGCGCCCATTCTAATAAAGCAAAATACCAAGGAAATTAACAATGAGACAACGCAGCAATAAAAAAACAAGAAAAATTAGAAGGGCGGTCTATTCCATTAGGGCATCATGATGCAGTTTCTCGGCGAGCTAATGTAACTCGAACATTCCAGCTTCTCACGCATGTCAAGGGACTGCCCTCTACCACCCCCCACCCTCCTAGGCTGGCTACACTCCCCCTGGCTCAGAGTTACCGTAGCTTTTTGGGAGTCACCGCACCATGATGCCCCCTAACTGGAATAGACCTAGAAGGGCAAACAACACTTCAACCAGAAGCTTCGTATCATGGAAGAACATCATATAAATCAACCGCAATGAAATCCCCCCCGTGGCGAATAGTTGAGGGTGAGAAAGTAGGCTATAAGCCTGGCATATATTCACGCTCAAAACCAACCTGACAATGCGTCTACGGCACCGGAATCAGCATGTGCGAACGCCTGCTGCGTTCTCGTCTTGCGAAATTCGCGCACGTCTCTCGCTCTGGCGCTCTATTAAGCGAATAATTCTCCGTTTCGACCTGTTGATCCCAGTCCCTTTAAAATTGCCTCATTTCAATTATTGGTCCCTTGAACGGCCCCTATCTTTTCTCTGCGAGTTTTTTTTTTGAGTTCTTTTTGTCTCTCAATGAAATTCAGACAACAATGAAATGTTAAAGATGAAATCTTGTTAAGAATGAATAAACTCCCATATCCAAGTTATTTCCACCTAGCTTTTTCATTACTCTTTTAATTACATTACTTAGCTGTTTGTGACTAAATGTGTGGAATGATTTTCTATGAATACTTCAGATTGAGTAGGGGTGCACCATTGTATTTATGTACGTCGGCCTATCCTATTTCGCCATCACGTTGCATTTCGAATTCACGGCGCAACCGAGGACTAACAAGGGAGGTCTTTCATTTTTGGAAATGGTTTCTTGCACATTGTAGGAACGCATGTGTGGACCACAAAACCGTGTCTCGTTCCCGCTGAACGGTTTTAGCAGTATCAAAACTGGTGAATGATACCCCGATGGTTCGGTCCCCTCCCTCAGGACTAAAATTTGACAATCAATGGTGGTCCTCGCGATGATGACATCTGATTTTGACATTTAGCGCGATTTGGCACCAAACCGTAGGCGCCAACCCAAATGCAAAATTTAGTCGCCACGGGGATCGAACCATAACAGTACCTTATGCTTCTTTTTTGGTACTGCTAAAACCGTTCAGCGAAAATGAAACATGGTTTTGTGTCCAATATGCAAGAAACCGTTTGAAAAAGCGCGGCTTGCCCTGAAAGACCTCCCTTGTAAGCCTTGCAGAAGGAGACGAACAGAGCGCCGTACCGCCGTGTGGCCCCCTCCAATTAAAATAGCACCCGGTCGTTGCTGTCGGACGACCGACTATGCATGCGCCCTGTGATTCGCAAGTATTTTCATGGATATGTGAAATGGAAGTTGGTCTCTTTCAGGGTCAGCAATGTCATGGTTTGGTTGGGGAAGCTCTGACAGTAGCACTAAGGTTGAAACTCCAAGCACACCAATAGATCTTAGCGGTGGCAGCGGTGGAGTGTCATTTGACCTTACGGATCATGGAGCGAATCAGGTCAGTACATCGTATATTGGCAATCTAAGGGAATACATATCTGAAAAAGTTAGGGTCGGTTCGTTTGCATCCTGTATCGTTTTACGGCTTTTTACTGTGTGGGAACAAGTTCCTATTTGGGTCAGCGAGATACAGATAATTGTGGTGTGTGTGTTTGTCACTGGTGGTCGTGCAACTCAGCTGTAAGTTTGGGGATTCGAATAGGCCTCAGTAACCGCCAGAAGTTCATAGGAGAATCGACTCAGATCGACTATTTACGCGCTTTACACGCGTAGTGTAGTGAGAACCACAAAGGCATCAAAAAGATAGTCATTCGCGCGATGGGAACAGTTCATCAGCTCGCTGCCATGATTCTTATGCTCGTGAGATCTCAATGTACTAAGTTCAGGCTTCTTCAACTGTCGACCATTCTCCGTTCTCCACACCTGTACTTGCTCTCGATCAAATCAAGAGTGCTGGTGTTCCTGTCACTAGGCAAATGACTCCTTACTTACAGGTTTTCAATTAGCTAACATACGAAATTTCTTCGTACCCAATTTTTCCAATGTGTACCATATTAGATGGATCCTTCGATGTTCATCTCTTCACAACCGCAATACATCATGCCTGACGGCGGAACTGGCTCTTCAGGCAAGGGTAAATTCGAGTTCGCCCTTGGACACATTGGATGGGCTGTAGGGTGTGGTTTCGCGGTAGGATCAATCAGAGGTGGCCTCGGAGAGCTAATGAATCCAGAAACGAGAAAACTGGTAAGATTACTTAACCTTTGTTATCGTTTGTTTGCTTTTTTCAGTGTTTTTGCGCATTCAGTGGGAATATTTGTAGGTGGGAAAGCCATGGATGACTCGAATGGTTAATGCCACGGTTAAGCATGGATCGGGATATGCTCAACCAGCAGGTAACAGTTTTTTGACCATTCGAATAACGTCGATTTACTAAGCCATGTCGGTTGTGATTCTGAAGATGAACATGATTGTTTCCTCTTCCGTTTGATCCGCACTAAATCGTGACTCACAACAACTGTTTTGAGCATCTCCAAGGTTTTCAGAGGAAAAGTCCTGTTCTTTTTCTTTGCAGCCGAGGGAAAGTTCTGTTCTTTTTCTTTGCAGCCGCTTTATTTTTAGTCAGACATATTTTTTTTTCGGGTAACATAAAGTTGTCCTTCACGGTATAAACCTTTCATGAAAGGATCTTCTTGCGTCTTTTTATATTAGGTAAAATCTCTTTCTACTGTGTTGGACTCATATCTATGTTAATTTGCATAAAGATAGAAAGGCGTAGTGCTATCTCAAGGCCTAAAATGCATCTTTCGAATGATAACGCTCCCATAACTATTTTAACAAATAATTATTCCTTCCAAGTCTGCTTTCTAATGTCATAATGATTTGACATTGTTTTAATTTAGTGAGAATTCTTAATAGTAATTGGCGCGTGTAGGGGTTTGGTATTAGAATAGATATGGTTGATACGGCTGTCAAACGAAGTAGCGATGTTATCTGCGCATGAATACAAGCACAAAAAGTTTATTAAATATCAGAAGAAAAGGTAACGCAAACGACATAACGCAAATTCACAATCTCAACAATAGATCGGAGTGATTGCTAGCAAAAAAACAAGGAGGCGATTCGTGGAGTCGAACTCGAGGGCGACCACCGAATACGGGTTAGCCGAATGCACAGCGCCAGCGCCTGTGGCGCGTTCGCCAGACATTTTCACGCTGAAATGATGTGATATTCGTGTTTTACGGATTGAACTACCTCGAAAGCAACTTTGTAGCCAAACACATAGTCATGGAAATTTCGGTTGAAATCCAGCTCAATTTTTGACTGACAGTAATGGATAAGTATTGTCAAAGTTCGGTTATTAAAGCTTGTTTCAGGTGCTGTCGTCTTCATGTACTCCGCGCTAGAAATAGCTCTACGTTCAGTTCGGGCAGAAGATGAATTGAACAGTCTCGGTGCTGGTGCACTCACAGGAGCCATCTACCGCAGTCCTCATGGGTTGAGAGCGAGCGGTATCGGTGAGTTGGATACTGTTGTATTGTCTCATTTTATTATGCGGTAGTCACAGCATTTGGTGAGCTCTTTGCCTGTTTTTTTTTTGAAGTTCACAGCTTTCTTTATTTCCTTTGTTCCAACGAACCTCATCTGTTCTTTAGGGGCTCTCGTCGGCTTAGCATTAGCTGCCGCATGGACGATAGCGAACCCGGATAGCCGGCAACGAATCTCTGAAATATTTGCTTGATTTATTCTCTTAGCGAAGTTCTCTACAACCATCCTTTTTGTACAACTATTACTCATGCAATGTTCTGTCCCTTGTGTATATCCTAAGATTGCCGTAGGTGACATATGGATTCGATTCTTAGAGTTGAATAGATGATTAGGTTCAGTGATTGTTACTTGTTGTTAAGGCTGATGCCATTCGAGTTATTTTCCTGAAAAAAATAGAAAGGCTAAAGTCGTACAATTAAGGATGGACACATTTACAAATAGATCAGAGATTTCAATATTATATGCAAATATGCGATGAAGGCTTAAGAAAGCGATTTCAGCGTTCAGTCATCGGTTCATTCCTTTTGATGGTAAAGGTGAGGCAGTGGCAAGTCAAAAGAATAGCATACAGTGCTTGGGAACCATAGAGGTCTTGATTGTGCCCGGAGCAATCCAGCTTTTTACTTCTTCGGAGTTGTTTGATGTCATATCCGGTTGGGATATTTCAGTCGAAACCCCACCCCATCAATCGTCAAAAACTCAATCAAATGGTAATCAAAAAATTAGATGCTTGAAGTGAACGGGGTTGATCAAAAGAAATTGGCGAACGATCCTACTTGCTATAATCTGCTTCGTCTTTCTGTCACAGTGTTTGCCTCTACTTCCTGGAAGCAGGGTGAATATCGGTCGAGGAAATCCTCGACAGGGGGGTCGTACCTGTTCGGGCTGGTCCATGGGGGGTCGTACTCTTGGGGGTCAGTAACAGCAGTGGTATCAATGAAAATATCTGAAAAAACATGATATTAAATTTTCTTTGCAGGTTCAGTCGCTCCATTCCTCCACCTTCATGAGAAGGGCGTATTTGAAGGCAGTACAAAGAATGAAAGTGCATCCCCGCAAAGAAGAGTGCCACATGTGCGCACGCGCTGCAAAGGCACCTCCTCTGCCTATCGCTCGCTCCTTCTCCCTTAATACCTCGCTGAGAATGACACTGTTGTTAGGGACCCTGTCGCAAAAACGACAACCGTGAAGGAAAAGCCCTGGGCAAATGAAGTTGTTCTTTAGGTTGTAGGAGTTACGAAATGCGTTTACTACAATGCAGCTTCTGTCAACTGGTCATGATCATATGACACCTTCGAATCGATTCTGCAACTTCGAGTGAGGTCGGATGCATGGCCTATACTCAGACAAAATTCGATGATGACGATTGCCCCTTTTCCTATTGCTTATGTTGGGAGGATGTTTTCTAGACCCATTTCAAGCGTTGCCAACAATTACACTTGCAATGGTGAAGAGGGAGCGGATTTTCAGGTGGCCGGATCCGTCCTCGATACATACTCGACGCAGATATCTTCTCAACTAGGAAATGTAGAAGAAAGCTAAGAAGACCATCAGAAAGCGCAAACCTTCCGCTTTCCAAAACTATCTTCACTTTTTCAGGATCTCACGTTTTAAGAGAGATATTGCTCTTGAAGTGGCAAAAACTCGCGTGAAAATTTCAGCGTCCTCGACGTTTACTCGACGAAATTTGAGAGACCCTATCTTTCTGCATGGAAGGCTTTCAGAGCAATTTCAATACTTCTTGGAAACGCGAAATCCAGCTCTATCTAACCCTACCTCAAACTGCTTCAAAGGTTATGAAATGGAGGAATGCAACCTTTTCATCGAGGGTGTAGATTTCGACGGTTTTTTTCGGCAAATCTGACCCAGTGACAATCGCGCCGCAGCTGCCGTTGAATCGGCCGTTGATTGATACACTCGGCTGTTTCGATAGACCGTCATTCTAGGGACCAGGGTCAACCCTACGTTGTTACGAGTAACAACGGGGGGGTCGTACCTGGTTGAGTTTGTAGGAGGGGGGGTCGTACCCACTTTAGTCGCTCGAAATCACGTGTGGGAGTGAGGAGAAACCGAGATTCCGTGGGTAGTAGGTTGTGCGAGTAGAGGGCGCGCAAGATAAAAATTTGCCGTTTCAGCCGGCGTATATACCCCCCCTAGAAAAGGAAACAGTGAGATTATAGGGAGAAATTGGGCAAATTGGTGGAAAATTTAGGGGAATTGTGGGAAAATTTTTACTGTTTCAGAGGGACTATATACCCCCCGCTCGACGGCATTTTTGGAGGAAAAAGTGGGCGGAGTTTTGAGGGTTGAGTGGTAGTGGAAGTTAGTGTTATAGAGAGGAATATGGTGATCGAGGTGTCGGAAGGGGGGTCGTACCAAATCCACCTTGGGGGAGGGGGGTCGTAAAAATTTTTCGAATAGTAACAACGATAGGGTTGACCCTGGTCGGGAAGGAGGCGGCTCGCGCATCAAATTAAAAAATGCCCCGGCACGCCATATTGCAACGCGTGTGGCATTACTCGCACGCGCAACGGCGTCGAAAGAAAAAAGAACTGGGGCGAATTAGTTGAGTTGGCTAAGTTGGTTAAGTTTTAGCAGTGCGATATGACAGTCTTGTAGGCGGATTGGTTCTGCTGGGAGCATGGAAGAGGTGCAATGTAGCTCGGGGGGGGGGGCACCTCGCAACATCGCGTCAAAATCACGGAAACGCTCCGTTTTAGGACTAATCTTTTGAAGAAGAGAGGTAACTCCGGTTACGGGAAGCAATTTCGTTATTTTCCGGAATTCGTCCGGTGCTAACTTAGTTGGGGGGGGGCACGCGGCGGCGCGGCAGTCTGCTCACCTGGGCTCTCTCGAGCGAGACAGTGTAAACTCGAACATTCCAGCTTTTCACGCATGTCAAGTGACTGCCCCCCCCCACCCCCTAGGCTGGCTACACTCCTGGCTCACGGATTTCCGAAGATGCCGGGATGACGGCCGCGCGCAGGCGGGCCCCCCTCAACTAAGTTAGCACCTTCGTCCCTGCTGTTTAGAGGCTTAGTCCTAGATGACTTTTCTCAGAGTGCCCCCCCCCGAGCCACATTGCGCCATTGGAAGTTTAAAGTTAAGAATTCAGGTTTGAAGGGTTTGGTTGACCTGTATATGGATTAGCCTAAGTTGGCTACTGTGTGAAAAGACGCAGTTTCCGGGATTTACGAAATCTTGTATGTGTCATTGTTAGTGATGAAAGAACTAAATCCAGATGGTGGTTCTCCTATTACACCAGCACATGGGTCGTTATAACTCACAGAAAGGACTAGACCATCGCAACTATTACGTATCCTTTGTGCACAAGTGGATCGTGGCATGGAAGTGCGTGAGTCTGACGCAATGCTACCTGCTGGCCCGAGCCACATTAAGTCGAGTTCTATTGTGGTCGTGGTATTCTCATCTGACTGCAAAAGAAGCAAAGTCAAAAAATGAAATGAACTGAAATGAACTGCTGACAGCCGTTTTAAGTCCACAGTGGCATGATGAAAGATCCGATACATCGTTCTTTGAGATGTGAAACATTCACAAATTACCTGGCAGACTTGTGCCAAGGCCAGAATGCCAGTGGTGTACTCTTTTTGTCATAAATCATATTGGAAATGGTTGCAAACGTTATCTTGACGGTTTGAAAATGGAGATAGAGGTCAAGATGACCTCTATCTCCATTTTTCAAGCGTGTTGCGCGTGAAGTATTGCACAGTGTGTGCATTGCCGCGGCAGTACATCTTATTTGACGGCGGCGCCGCCTCCTGTCCCTAGTGACGATCGTTTCGATCTACTCAAGCAGAAATTATGATTAAATCGCAACCCCGTGCCTTCGGAATTTTGTGCATTTCTGAATGGACCTCACTTTGAGGTCACACAAGTTAATGCCTCTTCCTCGAGTCGATATTTCAGCAAATACGCAAAAGTGCGCAGCGACGGAAGAAAGAGCGTAGATGACAAGAGAAGGCGCTTATAATAATATTTAGCAGGAAGGTTTTTGATTTGTTTTGCAGGATTGTTTTTTTGATTAATTAATTGAATTGATTTGCTCTGTTTTGGGGAGGGTCGTGCCAGGATCTCGATTCTGGGGAGTTGTACTTCTGCGGCCACGTGCTCGACGAGCGAATTTTCACCTGGGGCCGGGTGCAGCAAGCCCCAACGAGGGGATGGGTCCCCAAAGTTCTGTGTCTCCACTCTGTCGATGACGCAACTCTCGTGGTTAAGAATAGGGGAAGAGTCCAGAGATGCAGAGTTTAGGGGACCCATCCCCTCGTTGGGGCTTGCTGCACCCGGCCCCTGGTCTCAATGCAGTCTAGAGATGGCGCGGAGAAAGAAGAGAAAGCGGATAGGACCTAGCTCAGAGGCAGGTTGACTATTCGTGGTGTATCGACCTAAATTTGGTGATTTTCGCCGCACCGTTCCATATCGTGTGTTGAGAATCTCAAGAGGGATCAGAAGTGTGTTGTGCGTGCAACAGCATGCTTCGCCAATTGGTTTCGAAAACGGCAAGAGCAGTGTGGAGCGCGCGTTAGTGTGCAATGCTGCCTGGTGTTGTATCATTGTTCTGAAGGATGCCAGCTGGTTTTACCACCTTATGGTTAGACCACGTCGACGAGCACGAAAAAGTGCCAAACAGGGATAAAGGGCGGGGCTGTTCACTATATCAATGAAAAAGGAATGCGCCACACTTCCTCTTTCATTCGAAACAGTGGTAATTGTATGCGCTTCCGTGGCATGACATACAGGGGTGGCCAAAAAAAAGAGACACTTCACTCCACATTCAAAACGGAATTATTTACGCGTTGCGAAACCAAACCAAATGACCCCAACTGAATATTAAAGAGCACGTTATAATCTATCAACAAGCTACACAACAGCCTTCTACACCGACGACATCAGAAGATTTTCCCACGGAAACATGGTTCACGGTACGAGCTCAACGAGGTCGTCGAGGTACCATAGACCATTACGACGTCCCTGAACGCTGGTCAAAAGCGGTTTTGCATAGTCACAGCTAATGTCTCTGGGAAGCTATTCAACAGTTAATCCATTGAAGAAATTATGTAGCAGCTTCAGGCCGGAGCGATTACGGTAAGCCTCGTTGAGCTCGACGGTGACGGCAGATGACGTCATATTCTGAAGACGGCGGGGGCAGTGAAGGAGGGCCTGCTTCTGTTT